TGATATTTTTTCATTTTTACACATTTTACACTTTGAATCTGCATGGGTCTTAGGTCTGAAATGAGTCTCTTGTAGGCAGCATATTCTTGTTTTTTTTTTTTTTTTTTATCCACATTCTGTCATCTACCCTGTGTCTTTTGATTGGTGTGTTTAGTCCATTTATATTCAAAATAATTATTGATAGGTATGTACTTATTGTCATTTTGTCACTTGTTTTATGGTTGTTTTTGTAGTTCTTCTCTATTCCCTTCTCTTGCTCTCTTATCTCATGGTTTGCTGGCTTAATTCAGTGATATACTTGAATTCCTTTCTCTTCATTTTTTTCAGATCTATTACTGTTTTTTTCTTGTGATTACCACTAGGTTTATATATAACATCTTATGCATATTGTAGTCTATTTTATTTTATTTATTTATTTTTTAAAGACTTTATTTATTTGACAGAGAGAGACACAGCGAGAGAGGGAACACAAGCAGGGGGAGTGGAGAAGCAGGCTTCCCATGGAGCAGGGAGCCCGATGCAGGACTCGATCCCAGGACCCTGTCTGCCAAAGGCAGACGCTTAACGACTGAGCCACCCAGGCACCCCTTGCAGTCTGTTTTAAATTGATGGTAATTTAAGTTTGAACCCATTCTAAAAGCACTACATTTTTGCTCCTCACCCTCTCATGTTTTAGGTAAATGGTGTCATACTTTACATCCTTTTATTTTGTGAATCCCTTGACTGATTTTATAGATACATTTAATTTGTATTGCTTTTGTGCTTCCTACTTCCTCCTTTTCATATTCTTGCTTATGATCTCTTGTTTCCACTCAAAGAGTCCCCATTTCTTGTAGGGCTAGTTTAGTGGTGATGAATTCCTTTAACTTTTCTTTGTCTGGGAGACTCTTTATCTCTCTTTGTATTGTGAATGATAGCCTTGATGGATAGAGTATTCTTGGTTATGGGTTTTTTTCTTTCAGCTCTTTGAATATATCATGCCACACCCTTCTGGCCTGCAAAGTTTCTGCTGAAAAATCCAGTGATAGCTGTATGGGGCTTCCCTTGTATGTAACTGTTTTCTTTTCTCTTGCTGTTTTTGAAGCTCTCTGTTTATCACTATTTTTTCTTTTGTCATTTTAATTACTATGTGTTTTGTTGTGGACCTCCTTGGGTTGGTTTTGTTGGGGGCTTTCTGTGCCTCCAAGATCTGGATTTCTTTTTCCTTCCCCAGATTTGGGAAGTTTTCAGCTATTATTTCCTCAAATAAATTTTGCTGCCCCCTTTTCTCTGTCTTCTTCTGGGATCCTTATAATGCAAATGTTGTTGTACTTGATGGTGTTGCTAAGTTCCCTTAATCTATTCTCACTTTTTATTATTCTTTTTTTCTCTCCCCTGTTCAGCTTGATTGCTTTCCATTACTCTGTCCTCCCGAAATTTTAGTGACTGAGTTTTTCATCTCTGGTTGGTTCTTTGTTTTCTCTTTGTTGACGGTCTCACTGGGATCTTCCACTTATTTCTCAAGTCCAGTGAGTATCTTTATGATTATTACTTTAAATTCTTTATCTGGCATATTACTTATCTCTGTTTCATTTAGCTCTCTTCCTGTTATTACCTCTCTTTCATTTGGGACATACTCCTCTGTCTCCTCATTTTGTCTAACTCTCTGTGTCTATTTCTATGCGTTAGGAAAGTCAGCTACATCTCCTGCTCTTGAAAGTAGTGGTCTTATGAAGAAGAGGTCCTGTAGTGCCCTGCAGTGCGATGTCCTCTGTTCATCAGAACCTGGTGCTTAAGGGGTATCTCCTAAGCACCTCCTCTGTGAGGGTGCACCCTACAATTGTGGCGGTGCCACTTTTGCCTTCAGTCCAGTTGTCTGTGATGGCTCTTTGGCTGTTATGGGCAGGGTTTGGTCCCTTGTTGTTAGTGGGCCAGTCTGGGGCCACATTGGGCTTGTTTTGGGTCAGACCAGGTGTTTGCCAGAGATACAGTAGCACTGAACTGGAGGGCATTTTCCCCATGTTGTCCCCTGAGAAGCTTTCCTTGGTTGACGGGGCTTGCAGTCACACCAGATGCCTGCCCCCAGCCCACTGCTGGGGTCCCAGTTGGACTAGTGTGTGTGGTTATCATCCTCTCACCCCAGGGCAGGAATCACTTTTTGAGTGGTGCAGATCCCCGTCAGGGCTGCTTGCATACTGCCACGCTTGTGGTACCTCTTTGTATGGATTCCTGCCAAGGGGGGGTTGGAGGGGGTGTGTCTGCAGGAGGATACAGGAACAGGGTGCCTGGTGTTAGTAGAGCTTCTCAGTTCTGCCCTAGGAGGAACCTGGAGCTTCTTTGGAGAGGGGCTAAGGGCAGGTTGGAGGGGGTGGGTCCACAGAAGTGTGTGGGGGTAGGGTGCACTGTTAGGGAGCCAGGTGGAGAGTATTTGTGTTGTGCTGGTTCCTGCGGGTGTCACTTATATATGTAGGCCAGGGGTGCTGGGCATGGAAGTGGCATCTCTATACCCCAAGCATTTTTCAAACTGCTGCTTCTGTGCTGTATCTAAGTGGGGCTGTTTTTGCTCTGTCTCTTTAAAGGTGGGGACTCAGTTTCCTCTTGCCCTCTGCCTTCCAGAGTTGAGCCTATTCATTTTTAACGTTCTAGGTGTTAAACCCCACTGATTATAAGAATTCGTGAAGTTAAGCCCCTCTGGTTTTCAAAGTCAAATGATACGGGGATTGTCTTCCCAGTGCAGGCCCCCTGTGCCTGGGGTGCCTGAGGTGGGGCCTTCTCCTCTCCCTTCTCTGTGCTTGCAGTGACTCTCCTTCCTGAGGACAGTCTGGAGGGTTGGGTTTGGTTCCTGAACGCATCTCTGCCCTACCTACCTTTCTGATGTGGCATCTTCTCTATGTTTAGCTGTGGAGAGTCTGTTCTGCCAGTCTTCAGGTCATTTTCTGGATGATTTACACTGATGTGGGTGTTCTCTAGGTGTATCTGTGGGATGAAGTGGCTTAAGGTTCTACTTCACCATCTTCCCTGGAAGTCCCCAGTTGTGTAGCTATTTAAAATGAAGAGCTCAGAAAGAGTCAGAAAAAGAGGGTTTAAGATTTCCCAATTGCCTCTTACTTTTATGGTACTTGACCTATTTTGTCTCTTTCAATTCTTGAAATAACATCATGAAGTGGATTTTTTATCCCCATTTGAGAATTGAGGCATCCAGGCTCAGTGGGAGTGGTAGCCAGCTGCCCAAGGTCACAGTGGCAGGGCTGGAATGCAAACACAGTTTTCCTGCATGTGATGCCCCACTTGAATCATGGGGAAAGCCTGTGCTGTATCATTAAGTTAACAAAGCAAGGTACAGAATTTTGTCTGAATTATGATTTCAACTACCACTGTAGTTTTAACACAAAGGTATGCTTTTCTGTCTATGCACTTTTCTGCACTTTGGTAAATTCTGGGGAACAGTGTACTGCATTTTTTGTTCTTTGCAGGATTTGTTCAGTGTGTATTGGGCAAACAGTACTGATAGGCCTAATAATTTTAATAACTATTATAAAACTTCAGTAACTGGCAAGAGTTTCTGTAGGGTACATTGCTCTGATAAGAGCCTGGCAGGTTTTTTCTGAACTTTAGTTATTAGATAACCAAATAAAACTGTGGCATCCCCCCCTTTTATTGATGTATTTGGCTAATGGAGGCTGTTAATTTGACAAGTTGAGTAGGAGAGGACTGGAAGATGGAGAGGGCCACCCCCCCCTACCTCCATGAAATCTCTGAACCTTGTAGGACCAGTCTGCACAACACGGATGAATTTGATGATCCTAGGAGCTTTTGGAGACAAGTATTTTATTTCACAGTGCTTAAAGACCACTTTTTTTCTCCCTTAATCTATGAAATAGGGATATATCCATATACCAAAAGTTGATGGAGGAGAAAATACGTCGTTTACAGCCTGGCCTTCATAGCTACCTGAGGCTGTAGCGTGTCTAAGTGTGGAGCATGAGCTCTAGAGAGACTCCTGGCTTTAGCCATCAGTACACCTCACTGAGGATGCTGGGTGGGGGGGGGTTGGCTTTAAAATTTTAATTATGACATAGCTAAGTTATGGGGAAAATATAAGTATGGTGAAAATAAATGTACTTAAACATTCTGAAATCAAAGAAATATGCACCCTGCCTTTTAAGAAAATATACATATTGTATTTTCTCTCCTTGTGACTCTCAAAGCCACGAGCAAGAAGGAGCTAGGTTTCAGCTTCTTTATAGCTCCAAAACTTTTCACTCCCTTTTCTCTGAGTAAGGAAGATTATCCTTATTTGTAACCTCTACAGAAATGAATAGAAGGGCCCTTTATTATAGCCTTTATACACTGTCCTTTGATGTCTAGCTAGGAAAATAAGAACATCACTGTTAGTCACTGTATTAAACAGAAGTAAAAGCCCATGAACCAAGAAGCTCACGGTCTGTTTTCCGTATGAAATGTCATTCTCTGGAGATAGAATTGGTGCTGTGTTTGAACAGTGCTTGTATCCCTTTTCCCTAAGAGAAAGCTGTGGTCAGAACCGAAGTGTCTTGGTTGCCTGGGTGGTGCAGTCTCTTAAGCGTTCAACTCTTGGTTTCGGCTCAGGTCTTGATGTCAGGGTCATGAGATTGAGCCCTGTGTCGGGCTCCAAGCTTAGCGGGGAGTCTGCTGGAGATTCTCTCTCTCCCTCTCCTTCTGCCCTTCCTCTCTCTCTCTTTCTCTCTCAAATAAATCTTTTTTTTTTTTTTTTAAGATTTTATTTATTTGTCAGAGAGAGAGAGAGAAAGCACAAGCAGGGGGAGCGGCAGGCAGAGGGAGAAGCAGGCTTCCTGCTGAGCAAGGAACCTGATGCGGGACTTGATCCCAAGACCTGAGCTGAAGGCAGACGCTTAACAAACTGAGCCACCCAGGTGTCCCTCAAATAAATAAATCTTTTAAAAAAAAGAACCAGAGTGTCTTGCTGGGCAGCCTCACTTCCCTGCAAGTGTTGACCAGGCTGCCCCACTGTGTTCCTTCAGGCTCCCAGATTCAGCACCTGACGCAGGTGGGAATCGCAAGCAGAATTGGAGCCCAGCCAGTGGAAATCCCACCAAGCAGAGGCAGCCAATATGGGGGACCAGGTTGGCCTTCATATGGGGAGGATGAAGGTGGCCGAAGAGAGGCTGTGAGTATCTTGTGTTTGGGTCATCACTGAAAATTCAGACATAATCAGTTAATTTAACTGCTTCTGCTTTGGGGATCCCTTTTTGAAACCTATGTAAGTAAAAGTTTTAACCTCTCTCCCTTTTCTCTGTGAGTGTATTTTTGCTTGCAGTTTCTGGGTAGTAAATTCCCACCCACCCAGAGTGGGAGAGTAATTGCACTGAACTTGTAGAAACTATATAATTTTTCCTGAGGCAGATTTCAGGCTTAAAGTAGTGAATTTTTGAAAATAACCTTTACAAAATAATAAAAGCGATACTCATTACAGAAAATCTGGACAGAGACCTGTAAGTAAGAGCTACCTTTAAAATTTTTCCAATTTTTTTATATTGTGGTAAAACACACATAATATAAAATTTGCCATCTTAACTATCTTTGAGATGGCAAATTCAGTTCAAACCAGTTCAGTGGTTTTAAATACATTCGTGACATTATGCAACCATCCCCACAATCCATCCGATAGTATTTTTCATCTTGTAAAATGGAAAGTCTGTGCTCATTAAACACTAAGTGCCATTTGCCCTCCCCTCCAGCTCCAGGCAACCACAGTTGTACTTTCTGGCTCAGTGATTTTGACTTTAAAGTAATGAATTTGAACCTGTAGGTGACTAAAATCTGGACCTGATCTTTGGCGTCATTGTGTAAATATGCATGATCTTACATACCTACTTGCTCACCATTTATGCTTTGTTGTGGGTTTATCCACATCATTTCTCTTATGACCCCCCACGAGATGCTTCTGCCATAAGCTCACAGTTTAGGTTTCCAAGGCACAGAGTTTCTCTTAGAGGCTTCTCATCACTTTGATCACTCCTTTATAGGAATGAAATCAATATGGGCACAGGTAATTCCCACAAATGCTTTTCTTTGTTTTTCTCAAGAATTTTACATGCATTTGCATGTTTTCCAGCAAATACACTGAATTATTTTCATGACCGGAGGCTTCTATTACTCAGTGAAAGAAAATTAATTTTAGAATATAATTTTCCTCTAATAGATACATTGTTATACTTAGAATTTCAGATATCTGCTTTACATTTGCTGACCTTTTTCTGACTTCATTGTGCCCAACTTATTTTCATAAGGTATTTCGGGTTTTCCTATCAAATCCATTGTTTACTTACACTGCCTCTTTATCACTATTTGGAAACGTGACATGTAGGAATATTCGAGGGCTTGAATGCCATGTTTACTGTGAGGCTTACTTTTTAGCATAAGTGAAACCACAGATTTAGTACTCTTGTATATATCGAAAGAGAGATTTTTTCACTGAAAAATATCACTGAAAAGTACAATAATTCTGGTCAAATGAATGCCCAATTTACTTATGCAAATATAAGCAAAACTATTGTGTGTCCTAGTGCAGATAACTTTTTAAAGAAAAGGCTCTGCAGAACAGTCAATAGATACACAGATAAATAAAGTGGACAATGATTTTGTGACATTGTTCGTGTTCTGTGTCGCACGCACACCCTCCCAGGCCTCGAGTCCCAGAGCAAAGGCAGTTCTTGTCAGTCTCTCTGCAGGTACTTGCTCATCTCTTCCAGCTGTCAGAGACCTTCATTTGACCTTTCACCTCCACAGGGCACCCCAGCTCTCCAGGTCCCTTCCTGTTCTCCCAGTGGGCCACTTCCTTCCACACACAGGGGCACAGAGACTTGGCCGACCTCATCATTCTTTCTGTCTGCCTTTAAGCAAATATATATCAGGCACCTGTTAAGTTCAGGGGTTTCTTTGTTGTATTGCTCTCCCTCCAGCAGTCCTCTCCACAGTTTCTATATTCCATCCTGGGGGCCTTCTTGGAGGGCCATGTTCGGTGGGAGGTGGGCAGAAGTCCTGGGAGCGTGCCCACCACCAGTTTGAATTGGATTTTCCCTCCTGTTCTTACGTGGGAAGTACAGTAACGTTTGCTGTGTTTTTTCAGACGCACATGCTTGGACATCAAGAATATTCTTCTTCACCACTGTTCCAGGTGCCAAGGACTTCAGGTAGGGAGCCCTCCGCTCCTCCCGGGAACCTCCCTCACAGGGGGCTGCAGGGTGCGGGGCTGACTTACACCACCAGCTCCACAGAAGACCTCCAGCCCGGCCACTCTTCAGCTTCACTCATCAAAGCGATCCGCGAGGAGCTGCTCCGGCTCTCCCAGAAACAGACCGCCGTGCAGAACTTCCACAGCTGATCGGCCTCGCCTTGCAGATTTGCCAAGTATCTGCTTCCCGTGGAAGCAAGACTAAATGGAAATCAACTAAATGGGTATTTGTGAGAGAACGTGCATCTCCTGGGCTAGGTGCCCGTGTAAAGGAGCAAGTTGCAATTTTAGAGGATGCCATAAGTCACATGACAGCTCATGATGCTTTTAATAAGTTGGCAATTTTTTGACCACTTGGGTTTCAGTCAAAATTTACGTACTTTTGGCCAAAAGCCAGCAGCACTTCATGAAGGCAAACCACAAACCTAAGCTAACAACAAGAACAACAACAAATCACTAAATTAGTCTCCTTTTTAAAGGTAAAAGATGGAAATGTATAGATGGTATAGGGATTAACGGAATCCAGCTTTTCCGTGGGAAGATATGATTCAGACTGGTTTGTATGGTGAACTTGCTGCTTTGTTTTCTGAGAAAAGAGATTTGAAGACATTTTATTAACAGCTTGATTTCCCTCTTTTTCTCCATAGGAACTTATTTTAATAGTCATATTAACAACAAAAATACTAAGACTGTTTGGGAATAAAAAAAGCTACTAGTGAGAAACCAAATGATAGATTGTAGAGCCTGATGATTCCAAAAGAAGCCATCATCTGCATTTTTCCTTCTACTTCTGGTGCTACAGCTCCGAGGGCCCCTTCACCTTTATGTCTGTGAAATGCAACTTTGGCTTTTTCAATGGAAGGATATGTTGAAGATTTCATTTTGTTCTATAAAGAAAAAAAAAACACCTCCCCAATGGGGTGTGGGGGGGAGTTTAATATTTATTTGGTTATTCAAAATACATATCAAAGTTTAGATTTACATTCTTAATTGTATTTGCTGTTTATTAATTGGGCGCATGCAACTACCAACAGCATCCCATTTCAGTGCATGCCATCATTAAGGTCAGACCTATAAAAGGAGGCTTTCAGGAGGTCATAACTAATCCTTGCACTTGGCTGATGAGTTGCTCACAAATTATGTTTGAACGAGAAATCTTACATGATCAAAAATTATTTATAAAAACTACCAGGACCAACAAATTGTTATTCACAAGTACGTTTCTAGTAATCGCATTCTCTGTGTTCAAGACCTGGAAATGAAACGGAGTTCACTCCAGCCTCTCAGTAATAAATCAAGAAATGTAAAGAGCTTTGAGGACCACAAGGGAAAGGAGAGAGTTGCTCCTGGTTTCTGATTTTATTGTGCATGACCACTGAGTGACTGTTAAAACCATCTTACAAGGTTCTTGGGACCTGACAGAGGGTGTCATCTGTCTTAAGATTCACTCCTGAAGTAAACATTTCCCTACTTCCCAAATTAGACTAAGGGATATAATAACAAGGGCCATTCTGTTTTCTGATACCTGAGTAAAGCTCAGAAGAAAAACAGATAATGGATTTCCACTATGAATCCTTTTTTTATTAGATCCACTAATACTTTTAATTAACAATGGATAAACAGAGATAATTTGGGGCTCTGATGAATCAAAATCTGTATCAAATTTTAAGAACCCTGAAACAGCTAAAATAGGTTTCCAAAGTGTAATCACTGGGGGCCAGAATCATGTTTTAGCACTTCCTCAATGAAGCCTGTCAGACAGTCTTATGATACAGGGAATGTTGCTTCTGGGATGTTGAATGTAGCCTTTTTTTTCATCTGTGCTCTCTGAAAGAGGAGGGGTGCAGGGGAATAAGTCTCTCATGGATGTTAAAGGAATGGAAATCCCTTATCAGGCAGGCCTCATGGGCTCCAAGGAGTGTGGGAGGTAAGACCCCTTTCTGGGCATGATTTTTTACTTCTCAGTCTTCGTTTAATACCAGACTCTCCCCAGAATGGAGGATTATCTTTGCATGTCGCTCAAAAATACCAGGTTTCCTGACTATGTTAAGAATTTGAGATATCCGAGCAGAATTTTATTACAGACACCTTATAGTGAATTCAGATCGTGTGACAGCAAATGGAATAAACATAGACGCCCTCCTCCCATTCTGCTCAGTGTCATGTTTGCACACAGTGTACTAAGAATGGTTACCTCCTCTGTACATTCCAGAGACGGGTGTCTGTTTTCCAGAGGGCTGCTGTTGTGATTTGATGCCTTTCAGACTAGCGTAAAAGGATTCTACCTGTATTGTTATGCTTAGAATTGATAGACTTTTCAACTGATGTCATGACCAAAGATAACATAGGATAACCGGTGTTGTGTGGTGTGGTGGGGGCAGGCTCATGGGATCACCAGCATTCTTGTGTTGATTGTAAAGCACACTCTGCACTTGTTTTCTCTAAACACCTGCAGCAGTTTTGCCTGTCACCAAACTCAGGACAGACTGTCGTGGGGAGCACCACACCCAGGTGGGTCTTTGGATACGCAGTTAACATGATCTACTGAAAAGAAAGGTCCTCATGTTGATCTTGTGTGGCTTTGAAGTTCCATTAACTGAAGTACTCTAAAATGAAAAGTTAAATTTTGTATCTATTCTCTTTTCCTAGTTTAAAAGTTCTGGTGGTAATAATGCAAGCCATAAAGTTGAGTCAGAATTTCAGAGAGGGTTGGAGATCATTTTCAGAGTCTACGTTGTCACCAGCTTGCTGTGTCAGGTGCCTTCCTGAGCCTCTTTCTCCCCATCAGCCAAATGACGACAGACCTCTTCTGTCCACCTCCCAGAATTTCTTGTTTCAAGATTCAGCTATGATCTTGTGCGTAAACACTTGAGGAGGGTGCACAAAGCTTGGTGAAGTGTAAAACATTATCTGTATGATTGTACTGGGATTGGACAGTCTGACATGCTATTATCTACCAGTGGATGACTTCACATGGAGGTAACCAGAGCAAAACCCAAGGGCTCCATGTGACTCCTCTTCCTCTTTCCCAATTTGCTTGAAATTCACATCCTTCATCCTTAACTTTAAAACAGCGTTTGTATCAAACATCTTTCTGCACCTGAATTTTTGCCATTTCTAGCACCAGAAAAGTCAACATGAGTTCTTTTAGATCTTAGAATCTAAGTCAGATAACATAGCTGGGTATAAAAGATGGAAGATACAGATACAGATACATAATGTGGTGTGAACATCAGTAAGATTCACTGAAAATACACAAGTACATTGGGTACTCAGGAGAAAGGAAGTTGTACATTTGGAAACCATGGGATCCTGGGGAGAAGCCCACCTCAGAAGCTACTTAAATGAAGATGAGGGAGCTGGTGAGATGGCAAGGGAAGAGCTGGGAGTGGGCCCGGGGAAGGACAGAGAAAGTGGGCGAAGCTGTCCTCGAAAATGAACTTGACCTGCTGCAATATGGGGTGAGGATCCCTAACTGCACCATTTAGGGAGTTTTAATAAAACAAGAGGAAATGGGGCTGTGAGGATGTGTTTGCAATAATACAGCAAGAAAATGGCTGGGTCTGCGAAGAAGGTCTGCGCAGCAAGAGATCCAGTTTGGAGGAGGGAAGAGAAGAGTACCAAGAACTGCTGGAGGACCAACTGTAAAGTATGAAAATATTGTAAGAATTCCACCAAGGTTTCCTGCTTAGGGCAGCTCTCAGTGGTCAGCCATTCAAACACATTAAATCCTTTGTGGAGCATAGTAGGTTATAAATAAATATATTCCAGTTCTTTATAGCTGCCTATACAATTTTCTCCAAATTTTGAAGAGTAGCAAGGACGTTCTACTTTTAATTTAATTTCAGAATATGTTTTGATTTTGGTGGGACATGGCTTTTGAGCAGCAGACTAAGCAGGTTTTGCCAACCGGATTTTTCAGGGCATGAGGCCTGTGATGCAAAGCACAGGTGAAGGTGCACCTGAAGGCTTTGGGCCGAAACAGGTAATTGTGTGCTTTATGAGCCTCCCATTTAACTGTGTACTGCATTGCCCTTAGTGCTCCAGTGGCCGAACCAGTCACTCGGACACCAATTTGCATTTGCAGTAATTCACATGTTAATCATTAAATAAACTTCTCTTTCCCTTTCACACTAGATTCTTAGACATGAATGAATTTGCTAGTTGAAAGGAAAACTTGTTAGGGTTCTGGGCAGGTGAGAAGGGGGCCTCCAGTCTTAACAACCATACTAACATCAGCTCAAGGTGAGCTTTAGCCATTCCATTTCTACCTCCAAAGCCAGTCTCCAGAGCCTGCTTATCCACATTTGTCCCTGATGGGAGCATAAGGGAGTCCACTTCTGGACCTGCACACTGACCATTTGATCACAAAACACATTTTTATGGAATGGTAACTTGAACTTTGTTTTTACATTTAATCCAACGTATTAATGGATATTCTTATAACAGGTGAGAGGGGTTTCTAGGAGCAGCTGCTGTAACATACTCATAAAATGTAATAGGCTCACACTTACTACCTAATGAATAAGGAGTGTGTATATTTTAGGTTTCTTTTGATATTCTTGGAGGTAACTTTGAGTGTTTAGGACTCCTCTCTTTAGTATTAAAAAGACTTGAAAACTGAAACCTCACGGTACGATCCTAATTCCATGCTTGTGTGTGTTAACACTACGTTTGAGAATTTATCTTAAGAACACACAGCAGCATTGAAATTTAGGAAAAGAATATTAAATGCCTTTGGAAACATGAAACAAAGTTAGGAACCAGCGAGCAAGTGAGAGAAGGAATGAATGTCTTAATCTGAAGTGGTCTAGTCCAAATTAGTTTCCCACAGGGTAGTTATACAGGATCCTTGCTTTTCCTTCTTCCAGGTTTTTCTGCTGTGGGGCCACTTCACATTTAATGAAAGAGTGAATGGTGGAAGGGACAGAGATAAAAATTGAAGTGATTTAAGTCACTCGGTCCCTGATTCCACCAAAACCTTTCTGGACATTCTGGAGCATTGTGAAGGGTCTCATGCCCCTGTTTCATGACTTGACTCCCTAAGTGTGCAAGTTAGGAATAGTACAGGGCCAAATTTAAGACCGACCCCCTGTACTGTTCCGCTTGTTCATGTGGGGAAAGAAGGAGGCTCCACTGATTAATGCACTGGCTCTAAACACCAGAGGGCTCATTTCGGAAAAGGGGGTAAAAACTCAGCTTGGCCCTCCTCCAGAGCATCTTCGAGGGAGCATGGAGATTGGGCTCTACCCTCGCAGGAGAGGTGGCTCAGCAGAGCTGCTCTGGGATGCCCACTTGTCTCCTCCTACTTTGTCAAGGTCCATGTTCTTCTGACTCTTCCTGCACTCTCATTCCTGGACTGTGAGTGATAATGTACGAAAATATGCAGAGTAAATTGAAGCCACTCGTGGCATCAATACTGCAACTTGAACTTGACAATCATGGTTTGCTGGTCTCAAACGGGCACTTGAATTTCAGCGTGGGTATATGATTTAGTGATCGAACTCTCCCTTCTATTTGTCGGTTATGTTTCTACCCTTCAATTAGCTGCCCTGTTTTCTAATGTGCTGTAGAGTTTTTGAAATAATTTATGCAAGTGTTTGGTTTCCATGTTTACAATTTATACTGCTTTCCTAGCATTTTAAATGGAAATGTCAATAAATGCTATGAATTGGTGTCAAATGATCTTTTCTGTTCATTTCCTTTGTAATATGAT